TTAGACGCAGTCTTCACACAGCAGCCGTTAGAGAAGAACCATGGATGAGACACAATATATTCCATACTCGATGCACCACTCAAGGTAAAATTTGTGATGTCATCATCGATAATGGAAGTTGTGAAAACGTTGTGTCTAGCTACATGGTGGAGAAATTGAAGCTTCCTACTGATGATCATCCACATTCCTACAAGCTACACTGGCTGAATAAGGGTAGTGAAGTCAAGGTTAGTTAACGTTGCCTAGTTGCTTTCTCAATCGGACAAAAATATCAAGATGAAGTTTGGTATGATGTCCTTCCCATGGATGCCTGTCACCTTTTATTGGGACGTCCATGGCAATACGATTGGAAGATTATGTATGATGGGTTTAAGAATACCTACTCATTCGTCAAAGATGGAGTAAAAATCAAGTTGACTCCATTGGGTCCAGAAGAAGTCAACCCAACCTCACGCAAAGCCAAACCACTTGTATCCCTAGTCTTTATACCCCAGCTTAAGATGATGCGAAAAGAATCTCAATCAATAAGCTTATTACTCATGGTTGAACAAAATATTGGAGCATCTATTTCACAAGAAATAGAAAAGCTCCTTGCAGAATACCTAGATGTAGTACATGAAGAAATTCCTCCTAGTTTACCACCTATAAGGGACATTCAGTATGCCATCGACTTTATCCCAGGAGCTATTATCCCAAACAAACCTGCTATATGATGAGTGCACATGAACATGCTGAAGTACAACGCCAAGTGGAGGATCTTCTCAAAAAAAGATTGATACAAGAGAGTGTCAGTCCATGTGCAATCCCTGTCATATTGGTGCCTAAGAAAGATGGAAGTTGGAGAATGTGCATGGATAGTCGAGTTGTGAATAAGATTACCATAAAGTATCGATTCCCGATTCCACAACTCAATGATATGCTAGACCAACTACATGGTGCATTCATATTCTCGAAGATTGACCTTCGCAGTGGCTATAATAAGATTAGACTACGTTCTGGTGATGAGTGGAAGACCGCTTTCAAGATAAGAGATAGGCTATATGAGTGGACTGTCATGCTGTTTGGCTTATCCAATGCACCTAGCACCTTCATGCGCCTGATGAATCAGGTATTACGCTCTTTCATTGGAAAGTTTGTAGTTGTTTATTTTGACGATATTTTAATCTATAGCAAAAGCAAGGGAGAACATCTAAACTATATTCGCCAAGTGTTGGACGTTCTTCTTGAGCAAAAGTTGTATGCCAACCTCAAAAAGTGCACCTTCTTGACCAATGAAGTAAATTTTCTGGGATATATCATTACGGGTGATGGTGTCAAGGGTGATCCTAGCAAGGTTGAAGCAATCATCAGCTGACCTACCCCTAACTCTATGCAAGAAGTACGGAGCTTTCATGGATTAGCCTCGTTCTATCGAAGATTCATAAAGAATTTTAGCTCTATTGCTGCCCCGCTTACAGATTGTATTAAGAGATAAATTTCAATGGTCAAAACATACTCAAAATAGTTTTGATGAATTGAAGAGACGACTAACTTAAGCTCTAATTTTAACACTTCCTAACTTTGATCAGGTGTTTGAAGTAAGCTATAATGCTTCCAATATTGGCATTGGCATTGTTCTCAGTCAAGAAGGAAAGCCTATAGCTTTCTTTAGCGAGAAGCTAAATGATGCTAAACTCAAATACTCCACCTATGACAAGGAGTTCTACGCCGTTGTGCGAGCACTGCAACATTGGAGTCACTATCTGCTTCCTAAGGAATTCATCCTTTATATAGAACATGAAGTCTTGAAACACTTGAATTCTCAACAAAAGATCAGTCGTAGACATGCATCTTGGTTCCTTCAAGCCTATCCGTTTTTGCTTAAACACAAATCTGGGGTTCAAAACAGTTTAGCAGATGCGCTAAGGCCGACATGTATTACTATCTACAATGCAAATGAAGGTAGTAGGTTTTGAAATTATTAAAGAATTGTATCAAGATGATCCAGATTTTTGCAACATCTGGAGCTCTACAGAAAGTCAACCTTTCCAACATTACCATCAACAACAAGGATTCTTATTCAAAAACAATGTTTTGTGTATTCCCCAATGCTCCTTAAGAGAAGCAATCATTTGGGAAGCACATGACGGAGGATTAGACGGACACTTTGGACGAGATAAGACAATAGCCTTAATTAAAGAAAATTTCTATTGGCTGAGACTTGAAAGGGATGCTATTCGTCACATTCAAAGGTGTCGAATATGTCACCTTGCCAAGTCCAAAAGCTAAAACACTGGGCTATACCTACCTCTTCCAATACCAGTTGCACCATGGGAAGATATCAGCATGGATTTTGTGCTAGGATTACCTCGTACATAAGGATAGAAGGAATCAGTAATGGTAGTTGTGGACCGATTCTCTAAAATAACCCATTTTATACCTTGCCAAAAGACCAATGATGTTGTTCACATTGCCGATTTGTTCTTCAAGGAGATTGTTCGACTGCATGAAACTCCCAAAACCATTACTTCGGATAGAGATGTCAAATTCTTAAGCCATTTTTGGAGGACTCTATGGAGGAAGATGGGCACAAAACTACAGTTCAGCAGTGCTAGTCACCCCCAGACTAATGGACAAACAGAGGCAGTAAATAGACTTCTGGGAAATCTACTACGAAGCTTTGTTCAGAAGAATATTTGACAATGGGATCTTATCTTACCCCAAGTTGAGTTTGCCTACAATAATTCCAGTAATCCTGCTACTGGAAAATGTCCATTTGAGGTTGCGTATGGTACTAGACCTCTTAGCCCATTGGACTTGGTCCCTATTCTCACTAGTAACCAGATCAGTGCTGATGCTGACCAAAGAGCAAAGGAGATTAAGAAGCTTCATGAGCAAGTTCGAGCACAAATTGAGAAGCAAAATGCCAAGTATAAAACTCAACGAGATAAGCACCAGAGACATGCTATTTTCAAGGAAGGAGATTTAGTATGGATTCATCTACGGAAGGATAGATTTCCAAAGCAACAAAATGCTAAACTGTCTCCACGAGCAGATGGACCGTTCAAAGTAGTACAGAAGATCAATGACAATGCCTATAAGATAGAACTGCCTGATTCATATGGATTTTCTGCTACATTCAACGTTGCAGATCTATCGCCTATGAAGATAATGCTTAGACTCGAGGACGAGTCTTTTCTAACTAGGGGAGTATGGCCCAACCTATATTTAGGATAATCTATAATTACACTATCTAGAAATATCTAGAAATATCTCTAGTCTAAAACATCCTTACTCTAGATCTATCCTTTCTCTAGAAACATCTCTAGTCTAGAACTCTCTTCTTTAATATCTACTATAAAATAATCATTGTTCTAGAAGTATCCTTGTAATACTATAAATACCTCATTGTACTCCTCATTTTGGCATCAAGTTGAATAAACAAATTCCCATCCTCTATTAAGAGTTTCAAGCTCTAGTTCTCTTTTGTCCTATTTGAGAGTTCTAAGCACTACTTGGTCACTTTCCCTTTCTGATTTCTGAGCCACTTCCTATCTCTCCTACAACTCCGAACTAGTTGTGTTAGATGCCTACCACCTTGAATATGGTGAGGGGGGGGGGCACTAATATAGATCTCATGGGCATCAGTCTCCAACCTATAGGTTGTTAGCTGTTGTAACTATATATCATATAATTGTTATGATCATTTTGTTTGACTGTAGCTTAGTTTAGTAGATTTTCACGTATCTCTACAAATACATGTTGTAACCCAATTTTAATCACTCATTTTATTTATTTCTCAATACCAATGGCATTTTTCTATGGAAACCCTTTACATTATTTTGAGTTGTACAATGTTTGGCCTCATCAAGTTTTAGTAACTTGTATCATTCATCAAAATTCTGATATCAATATTATTATTTTCATTGGATGCTGATGAAAAGGAGAATATTAAATATATAAGCTTTTTTTTATTGAACAGACGGCCAATTTGGATTGAAATTGATATCCTATTTTGCTCGAGACCTAATAGATGATCAAAACTTTTGAAGAGACCTATGTTGTTGGGGAAGAAGAGATGAGTCCTTTGCATTCTTTATCTTCGGAAGCACACTCACATAAAACGGAAGGAACAAAAGGAGAAGAAAAAGCACACATAACTTTCTTGGATTGACACCTCTTGCTTACATCTATGAACTCTCAATATAATTTTATTATTTTGTAATTCTTAACTGATAAAATTACAAACCATCTCATCTACACAATTTTTGAACAGACAAAATTGCAAAATGTTACATTTACATTTGTTGAATCGACAAAATTGCAAAACCTCACTTGACATACATACAACTACCCAAACCCTAAATACACCTAAAGGATTACATGTTGTTGTAGTGAGTAAACACAATAAAACTCTCTATTTATAATATTTTTATTCCTAAAAATTATAACGAGAACTCTAAATCTTAAAAAGAGTTGGATGAAAGCAAAAAAGTTTAACCACCATTCAACCAGCTTAATGTGTAATTTGTGCCACATATAACCTTATCATTGATTTCTCTCAAAATTTGTGTCATGAACTAAATGCTATTTGCAACAGAAAAGCAAATAGACTCCTAGACTAGTTGATGTAGTTTAGCTCTAAAATTAAATATAATACAACAAAGCATGGGTTGAGTGAGGTTATTACTTTTGCACTACTCCTATTTTGCTAATTCTACAATTCTTTTTTTTATTACTTCCAGAATTTTAAAAGCTCTATTGAATTAAATTTTCAGAAGTAATGCAAAAAGAGTGGTGCAACAAACAAAATAGGTAGTGCAAAATGTGATGCAAAATGTGATCTCCATTGACTGATCAAAATCTTAGCATGAAGCATGCATTGTGGGGAAAACAATATAGAGAATGAAGGTCATGTAATTTAATATTTATGCAACCAGCTTAAAAATATGCATACAGATATATGATTAATAGACAACAAGAAAATACTCAACATTTTTTGAAAAAAGAAAAATACTTACTTAAAGTTTGATGAATGGAATCCTGATAAATTAGCAGCTTCCGCCAAAGCAGATCTCCAGCTTTGTGCCTTAGTCAAATTATACTTTTCTTCAAGTTCAGCGAGAGCATTTCCATAACTACCTCTTTGGTTCCTTACATCTGAGGGATCTACATGGTAGAAAACAGGTACTACAATCTGTCCATTTTCCCTTTTGCAGTCAATTATTTTCACAAGTTCATCTAAACACCAACGAGAAAAAGCATAGTTTTCTGAGAATATGACTAATGACATGAGTGATCTTTCAATTGCTCCAAGAAGTGATGCTGATATTTCATCCCCTCTTTGAAGTTTATCATCCACAAAGGCTAGAATGTTTTTCTGGGTAAAAGCCACATTCAAATGGCTAAGGAAACCGTGGCGAACATCTGGGCCCCTAAAGCTGACAAAGACCTCATAAGGTGGAGGTGAAGAAGCATCTTCAGACATTGTCTTTGCTGTTATGCACAAAATAAGCAAGAGACAATGAAACATGATATATTTTGCTTGAGAAGCTGGGAACAAGAATATTCCCTAGGATTGAAACTAGTGTAGTGCACTCTAGAAGATAAAGAGAGAATAGAAATGCAAAGATCAAATAGCTTGAAAGAACAGAACCTTTCTATGTGCAATGAGTTGAAATCAGCTGTTGACCAAAAGAGAGGAAGAATGAGCATATCATATGTTAACTCTGAGCGCTAAGGGAATATTTTACTAATTTCATGTTTCTTGGTCAACTTAATTGCTTTGGCTGGCAAGTGTTCAAATCGATCTCTTCCTCACACATGTCCTACTATTGTGCTTTAAATATGTTCCAAGTCCCAACCCAATCTGAAATTTGATATGCCATAATATTTTATAGTAAATTATGTTTGTAAACAAATTTTGACATCTGATTTTTTACTTAATTATTTTGCTCATAATTTTTTTGGTGCGATTAATGATATTGGGTAATATTGTAAAAGACTTTATTTTTTTTGTCATTGCCTTGGCTTTATTTTGTTCTCATAGTTTTCTAGTGTAATAGAAACTGAAATGTGCATAGTTTTCTTTATGATTTATTAGTCTGATTTTTGGGAGGCTTTTTCCACTTGGTGAGAAGGGGAGTACTGCTACTCTGCCTCTCCCTATGTGTTTTAGCAATAGCACATGATCTCCTTAATATTTGGTGGGTTGTTGTTGTTGTTATATTCTTATTATTATGCTTCCGAACAAAAAGGGTGATGTAGCTAGAAAAAAAATAAAAAGGTTTGTTGGTCTAAGATCATAACTCATTGTGCATTGCTGGACCCACACCTTACAAATTCGAGTACAATGACCCAAAATTAATCTAAGACTGGGTTTTAGCCCAAGTTTTCCAACCCATGAAATTTGAATTATGTCACAAATGTGGAAGGAAGCAGATCATGGCACCCCTCAACCAGACCCAATCTTCCTTTTCCAATTATCTTTTGTTTCTTAGTATTAAATAAATAAAAAAACACATTTTTCATAGCTTATGCTCAAAGACAAAAGTTGATAAATTAAAAATAATAATAAAATTTTATAAACGAAATTGACAGTATTTAATATTATTAAATCATTAATTTTATAATATCTTGTTACTTTTAATAAAAACTTAATATACATAAATTTTTAATACATGTTGATTAAGAAAATCATTAAAAAGAAATAATAATAATAATAATTATTATTATTATTATTATTAAAAAAAAAAAAAAAAGACGGAAGAGGCACAAGTGACTTATAGAAGTTTCTTGTTGGCTGAAGAAAAAATGAGAGGAAGGGGCGCAACGTCGTTGTCAATTCTTGAATCACATTTCCTTTTCGTGCTTTCTATTTATCATTATTAATTTAATGATAATTCTTGACTAATTGGGATTATAGAAATATATGTCCATGTACGCTGTCGCAGTTATTTGTGAACGCAATATATTTGCAAGAAATGGGGAAATAGAAATGCAATACATTCCAGATAACCCAAATATAAAAATGGATACGAGTTTGAATTGATAATCAAATGGGGGCAATAGAAATACATGCATTTCTTAAATTTCTGCCCGTTTGTAAGCTGAAACTGCAAACCATAATCAAATGCAACTTTTCTGCATTTTTGAATTGATAACTACAAACAAAAGACAAACTAATCTCAACGGATACAAGTCACTCTTTATTTTGTGGTTTGTATGTTTTAACTGCAAATAAAAGGGATATATTTCCTTGCCGTTAACAATTTTAACAGCAAATATAAAATGTATTCAATTAATTATGTAATCATTATTTTGAACCATAAGAAGTAAAGAAAACTTACTGCTTTTTTATAGCTTTTTTGCGTTTCCGTGTTGAACAACAATGAAGCATTAACAAATCTCTTTTTTGGTGCAATGAGCAATGATCATATCGATAACTTGAATATAAACAATCAAAACCTTTAACTTAAACCATAAGAAGGAAATACATATAAAGATACTAAGCACAAGCTAAATCTATTTCTTAAATGATCACTTAATTCATCTGTTGAATAAAGTTGTGATATGTGGTGTTGCTTACCACACTAACACCAAACCCTTTTAACACTGCTTGTGGTGGATCTGGACTATTGAGTTTGAAGGGATATGCACGACTTCTGACCTTGATTTTAAACCATGGCTGACTTTTGGCTACGGTATTTAGGTGGTAAGACCAACGTTGATCATATATCACACACACATGATCTGCTGCAATATGGTCTATTGTTCTAGACATGTACATTCCATGAGTCCTCTTCAACATTCCATCTTCTTCATCATCATCATTGATTATAGTAAGGCCAAGATTCAAACTACCAAATTCTGACTTTGCCTTGCCAACAATGAAGCAGAAAATGAAGCCGAATCGAGGGGAATATGGCACAGAAGAGATATTAATAAACATGTAGTCCTTTTTTGTTTGAAACTCTAACCACTTAGGAATGTTGTTGCCTGGATATACATATGCAGCTTGAAAATATTCATCATTGAAACCTGCAGCATAACTACGTTCCGGTGTGGATAAATGTTGGTATGCAAATTTCATCACATTGATTTGTGCATTAGATTGAATGGCCATTAAAGAAAGCTCATCCAAGTGCAAGAAATTCCAAAACTCAACCTTTCTTTTATCAAGCTTGTTATGGGAGAAAATAGAGGGATGCACACTAGTCAATGAGCAACAACCACGAATATCCAGTACTTCGAGATTTATGGCTTTTGAAAAGTCCGGTAGTTCTTTCAAGAGAGAACAAGCTAAGAGTTTTACTTCTTTTAAATTTTCTAGATTCTGTGACAAAATAAAACAAATGAAAACATTATATTCAGGCTAAAGTTGTTAATTTTATTTTTCTTGAAATAAAAGAAAACTTATAACTACAAGACAAATATTATATATATTTACCTGAACTCCCTTCCATAACATTTCAACTTTGCTATATGATAAGTCTAATAAGACAAGTTTTTCAGCATTGAATTTCTCTGGCAAGGATTTCAAAGGGTATTGCACCCAACGAAGATATCTTAGTTCAGTTGGCAAATGTTGAAGCCCTTGAGGAAGATTATCTGAGCAGTCTTCATCATATTCACCATGAATATCGAGAAATTGTAATTTGTTCATCTTAGCAAATATGTGAGGGCATAATTTCAGCTTCCGGAGAAATGACAAGTGCATCCTTATGCTTCTAATGGCCTCAATCCCCTACCATCATATTAAGTAAAAGAAAAATTTAAGCTTCATTAAATGCCATATTTTCCACAAAATAATTCAAATATTTAATTTAAGCTTTTACCTTAGCATTGTTTAGTGAAGCATAAAGGTCAACAGGATCCCATAATCGACTGGGACTTCCCGGGTATTCATTAGATTCTTGACGAACAATCTCCCAACCCATTTCTTTTATAATGTCATGCATAGATACAACATTATCTCTGAAAATATTTATAAGAGCTTTGTCTTTCAACCTTTCTAACCCAACAGCCACTGAATTATCACTTCGATCATCTTTCAATAAGAATTTTAAGTATTCCACTTTCAAATTTAATCCACTAAAGAAGCATGCAAGATCTAAAAAAATCTTTTGCTCTTCACGATCTAGATCATCATAGCTCAGTCTCATTACATCATGAACCTTTTTAGTTGGCATTTTTCTAAGTTTGTCTAGCTGACTTTTCCATACTTCCTTATCTTTTCCATGAAGAAGATGCCCCAAAACTTTAAGAACTAATGGAACACCATCGGCATAACTAATCACCTTCTTTGATAGCTCGTAATAATCATTTTCAAGATGACTTTGGTTAAATGCATTCACATTGAAAAGTTTAAGTGCTTCACTGGAACTTAATCCCCAAACTCGGTATATATCATTAACTTTGTTAGCAATAAGCACTTGCTTATCTCTACTTGTTATAATTATTCTACTACCTGGTCCAAACCAATCAACCTTCCCAAATAATATTTCTAATTGATCTGAATCATTCATATCATCAAGAACAATAAGAACCTTCATACGACCAATTCTTCTCTTAATATAATCAGACAATTCATTCGGTGTATCCATTTTAACATCCTCAGCTAGTAATGTAGAAAAAAGCTTTTCTTTTAAACAAATTAGTCCATGTCTTCTTGATTCTTCTCTTAAATTTGCCAAAAAGCAATGGCCTTCATACGTAGAACACAGTTTATTAAATATTGCTTCTGCAATGGTTGTCTTACCAATACCACCCATGCCCCAAATTCCAATGACACGAACATCTTTTAACTCTAGACGTAATAATATTTCTAAATATGCAACTTGTTCACTAATTCCAAAAAGTCCTTTTGAGTTATACACGTGTTTAGTACTCAACCTCTTCAACACCAGATTAATGATTTGTTCAAGTAGCTCAGCTTCATTCCTATACAACAAAAAAGGAGAAAATATATCAAACCCTATAACTTTCCTATATCTCCTTATAGTTTGGGAAAATGTGGTCAGGTCTCGACAATATTTGAAAACACCACAGCTGTGGGTGTGCCTCCATTACGTGCGGGTATCCAATATATGGATATCCACAAATATGGCTTCATGCATGTATAAATATTCATTAGATTATGAAACATAAAACATTGTAAGAAAAACAAAAAGTAAAAATGAAATTAGAGTACTTAAACAATACAAAAGGACATTATAAAAATGGATCTAACACTTTAAAATATAGTAACAATAACTCAATATTTTTCTCAAATACATTTCAAATGCACCAAACTTGAAATTTAAGGAAATGAAATTAGAAAAAAAAAATTTATGTAATTAGAGTTGAGGAGAAAATTCTATTTTACTTGGGGGTAAAACCGTTGCACATAGCGGGTTTTACCTTTTGGGATTTTAATTTTCTTATCCCTTCCTATTGTGATAATAATATACATATATATAGTTATAGTTATATGAAAAATTAAATAGAGCTAGAGAATTCTGAATATCTATTAAGAAAGAAAAGAAAGCTTACCGAAATTGTGATGACTTAATTCCTGATAAATTTGCAGCTTTGTACAAAGCATGTCTCCAGATTTGCACCGTAGTCAAATTATACAAAAGCTCATGTTCAACAAATGCTTGTGCATAACTCCCTGTTTGATGTCTTACATCTGTGGGATCCACATGGTAGAAAATAGGTATTACTATTTGCCCATATTTTTCTTTGCATTCAACTATTTTCACGAGTTCTTGCAAACACCAACGCGAAGAAGCATAGTTTTCTGAGAATATGATCAATGAAATGAATGATATTTCAATTACTTCAAGAAGTAAAGGCAATATATATTCTCCTCTCTCAAGTTTATCATCTACAAAGGCATGTATTTGCTTTCGAATAAAACCCTCTGTCAAGTGGCTGAGGAAACCATGGCGAATGTCTTTGCCTCTAAAGCTAACAAAAACATCGTACACAAATTGATGAAGAGCTCTGTCTGACCTTGCTTGCGCTACTATACTCTTTCGTTTGTTGAAAACCATTAGTTTCCTCTGCATAAAAGCTAAGGTATCACCACATAATTGAAATGTATTGTTAAAATATGAAGAAACAAGATGTTACTACTTTGTTAGCACCGTTTTTTACAATTGTTGTTTTTTACAATTGTTATATTAAGGGCACATCACAAAAATGTTGTAACATTGAAAAGTATTATAATTTACTTTTCTTTTTGCAGCATGCAAAATTTTGTAACATTTAAAAAGTAATAATTTATGAAAGATTTTCAAAAAAATTTGTTACTCTATACATGACATAATGCAACCACTGCACCATTTATAGTATTTAGCATATAATTATTTTCTATATAATATTTTATTTACAAAAATAGTAATTTAGAATTCCTCTACTAGATTTCTTACATGTTATTTTTTAAAAAAAAATATTTTTTAAAATAATTTGAATTCAATTTCTTAACTTAATTTTCCTCCATCAACTTTTAAATTATTCATGTTTATGTTTCTTAAATTTTTTAAGTTTCTAAAATTTTTAAGTGAGTTTTCTGAAAATTTTAAAATAAATAGAAATTCAAAATGCATTAAATTTTATAAATTATAAAAATATTTCACTTTATAATGCATATGAATCTTAAAATTGAATATTCGTATAATATTTATATATAAATAATTTCATTTATTTATAATTTATTATCTTTTATTCTTTCACATATAGGTCTATAAATAAAAATAAAAATAAAATTTAAAGGATGAAAATATAAAAATACGAATCAAATTCATGAGTTTGTATGATTTTAAAGATAAAAAAGAGTATTATCTCAAACCAAAATATATATTCTAAAGAACTAGCATATATGGAACGAACTATTCTAATTAATGTAGCTAGCTATTGTTGTAACGTCCCGAATTTTGTAATATTAATTTTGATAATTATTCATATATATATATATATATATATATATATTCATGTGTGTATGTATGTATATATATGTATGATTGTTTGGATTGGGCTGGTTGGGTTGAGTGCAGGACGAGATACTGAGTTGTTCTCGCTGCAGCAAGAAGGCCCTGAGAAGAAGGATCAGAACTGTCGTCTTCTTGCTGTAGCGAGAGAGCGACAGTCTGGGGTGCATTTTTGGGTGCAGTCTTGCTGCAGCGAGAGGGTTTCGTTGTAGCAAGATTCTGCAGAAACCAGAGTGCAGTTTTTTCTGGTTTTTTTGCTGTAGCGAGGAGGCGTGTCGCTGCAGCGAGATCTCAATATAGCGAGAGTGTCGCGACCAGATGGGTATTTGATGGGTTAGGGTTCTAGAAGAAGGTTATTTTTACGATTTCCCTCTCTCTCCTTCACGATTCTCTCTACTCCATTCCTACCAATTAGAAGCCCTCCAAGACCGATTGGAAGCTAGATTGAGAATTGGAGAAGTGTTTAGAGCTCTTGGAGGTAAGTTCTATGGCTAGGGTTTCAGTTTTCGTCCCTTACTTTCATTTTCTGAGGTTTTTCTTAAGTTCTCTTGGAATTTCTGTGTGTTTTAGGGATGAAATCCGTGTGGGGAAACGATTCCATCAACGTTTCATGTCGGGTCTTCATTTTTTAGGTAAGGGAAATACTTTACTTTAATTATCTTTGTTAGGAATGAGTTTATTTGAACGAATATAGTAATGTGATAGAAATAGGAGATGAGGTTATGTGTATTGATGAATTGTACGAATTGGGTTGAGTCCGGAGGTGTCCAACCTCCGGCATATTGTGTAAAATTGAGTGATGTGCTTGTGTTGGTTGCCATTGAATGCAAAGAAATGATGTGAATTATGTACTGGATATTGTGAATGGGTATGGGCACTCGTGCCGTATAATTGAATGAACATTGTGTGAAAAGGTGGGCCCGAGGACTGTGTAATATGAATGGAAATAGGCTAGGGGCTGTGTGTATTGAATGAATTGTGAGCTATGTGCTGTGTGTGCTGTGAAAATGAAATGTGGGCCTAGTGCCGTAACTGTTAAATGTGGGCCTAGTGCCGTATACTGAAATGTGTGTGATTGGGGCGTGTAACACCGTGTAATGTACTGTGAATGGTTCAGCGATACACTGGGGGTGTGGGAGATGAAGATGGTAGAAATACCTTGGGGAAGAGGGAGTGGTGGTGACACCGACTGTGGAACGGGTGCACCACAGGCCACACACTCTCTTCCTGACTAGACCTCTGACCATTACCTTTGCTAAGCAACCCGTAACTGCCCACGTGATATCCGTGAGGCGGGGGTAACCGACAACCATTCATATTGAAAATCTGTGATCACAGTGTAAATGTGAGTGTGGCTGGCGTGCGTATGCATGGGTTCATGATTTGTGCTTGTGGATGTGATAACGTTGCCTGTGCCTGTATTTGTTTAATGTATTAAAAATGTGCTGGAGGTGAGACTCTATGCTTAATTGTATGTTTTGGTAGTGTAGAGTACTCACCCTTACATTCATTGTAAGAAAGGGACATGATAGCTTCGACGATTCCCCTTTGGATTCATTGATGTCCCTGTTTCAGGAAAGATGCTCGGGTCTAGTGTATCGATTCGGCTAAGAAAACCAAGACAATCTCTGCTTTTACTGAGAATCTTTTCGATTAAATGATCAACTTCAGAATACGGTGGGAAATACAAAGAGAACCCGCGTGATTACCAAAGGAGCTAGGAAAGAGAATGATTGCCCTCGTTGGGCCGGGCCCAAGCGAGCCACTACCTATGCAAGAACCGACCTCCCCCAAGAAAGTCCATATTCCTCCTAAGGACCCTCAACCACCAGATGGATCCATGATCTCTTCTTCTGATATGGCTATAGACCCAGGCCCATCTCCCTGCAAAACAGCCCACGTAGGATCTAATTCTTTGAACATGGACCTGGACTCTTCCACTCAAGCTGCCAACCTTGGAGATGACTAGATAAGGCCCGACGATCAACACTGGGCTCGGTGAAGGTGTGGATGAAACTGCTATAGGGCTTAAAATATTATTTTAAAAACTGTTGTATTCAGAATAAGTCCTGTAGCAACTATTCGATATAATTTGTAAACTCTTTCTTTATTTGAAATGCTTAATGAACTTGGATTAAAAATAAAAATTTTATTATTTTAAAAATTTACAAAATTCTTTATTTATTAAAATTAAATTTAAAGTGTTACAATTGTCACTTTTTAATCTGGACTTGCCAATTTATTATGGCATCTAAATGACAGAACAGATGTTATACAACTTACAAGACATCATTTCTTTCAGTGGGGTCATCATTGTTGCCACCCCTACTCTACTCTCTCCCAGAACAGGAAAATGCATTGAAAAAGAAATGTACACTATTCAACGTAGTGCTAAAAGTAACACGCATCTTTAGGACAAACAAATAGGGGACGTGTAAACATGAATTTTCAGCTTTCTCTATCTTTTACTCATTGTAAACTAAGATTTCATTCAAAATGAAAATAAAAATAAAGAGCCAAAATCAACTCATAATCATATATATTCTGATGTCTATCAGTATATAACTAAAAATAATTAGTTCACATCTCACATACATTATTTTTACCAAAGTTCCATAAGTTTGCCCGCATTTCAACATTGGATGTTCTACCTATTCCTTGTGGCAATGTATCACTTCCAAAAGGCCAGCACTGTCTCTAGAGAAATGAAAACAGGAACAAGGTTAGAGGTAATTCTAGGTAGTTACAGATTATAAGTCATAAAAAAGGATTTCTTCCACCCCGCACCCCCCCCCCTCCCCCCAAAAAAAAAATAACGAAAAAGGCAAATATTGCATGCATTGGAATTTTGGTATCTGGCATTATATAATAACGGATAGTGCCCAAAAGTATTTTGCAAGTATTTAAAGTTCAAATTTCCAAGTAAAAATTTTCATTAAGTACACAAAAAAAAAAAAAGAGATTAACTAATATTCAACACATAATTAAGTTAAAAATAATCAAACACAAAATGTAAATATTGAGAACCATTTGTTCGCGCAAACAGATATGCAACTGACAGCAGTCAATTAAAGTTATGTCAGAGAGGGAAACTGTTTAGGCCCAATTCTTGACCTTGAAATCCAAGCCATCTTATATGTTAAGGGTGTGGGTATTGCCTCTATAAGATGTCTACTTGTCATTCGTGTTTAAGTAATTTAAATTTCAAATATTCTTTTTCTTATTTGTTAATCAAATTATAAGTAAGAATATTTAAATAAAAATTTCATAGGTTGGAGTCACAATCAATACATAAAAGTGATTATAGACACTTCTAATTTCAGTCAGTTGATTCTTTAGTTTTCACATCAACTTTTGCATAAAAACTAGTGTCAGGCATAAGATCCTATGAACATGAGATGAGCACTAAAGAAACTTCCTATTAATATTTCGGCCTTCCAAAACACAATTAATACATACTTTTCTTTTCGAAAGCAAAAGAATTTGTTTTAAAATAAAGCTTGAGAACAAACTCTCTCAAGTGTGTGTTCAAGTAATGCTATTCAAAATGTCTCCACAACATATAACATGCATAAACATGAGAATAAACACCCAACCAGCCATTAAGACAGGAACATGACGCAAAGATCAACCAGCAAACTAGTAAATTAAATACATTTCTGCAACCAACAAACAAAAAATACCCAGTAAAATTGCTATTGTCAAATGAAATCAACCCCTGCAGAAAAGTTTGAGAGTTTGAAATATACTTTAACCATAAATGCATGATGCCTTGTTTTTAAACAGGTAAATCCCTTTTTTAGTGGAGTACCAAATTTATAATTACTAGTACTTAGATTTATAGAGTAAAGAGACAAAGAAATACTACATATTTTATTTGAGAAGCTCCGAAAGCGGAATATGCCATTTGAATAAGAGTACTGTGTAACATTCTTTGTCTTCACACCCCTTGATATCAAACTATAAGGGAGCCACTAAGTAACTGGAAAGTAAAGGAAAAGAGCGAAAAGGCATGAAAAGATCGAAGAGCTTAAAGAACATACATATTTACAAAAATTTCAAATTACCATTTAGCCCAAAGGACAAAAGGAAGAAGAAATCACATGACAATACTTGTCCCTTCTAGATTAATGAGTTTTCAAATTAAGCCTTCATTTAGAGCCAACCTATTAACCACAACCAATAACCAATATAATATTTATAACAAAAAAAAAGAGTAAAGTAACAAACAATTTCTCAACTTTATCCTTTTCCATTAAGTTTTGTTTTCCACACTATCTTTGAAGATTACTGATCACTTTGAAGATTTTACCAAATAGATGCTTGGGATAATTAGGGAACACAGTCAACTGTTGCTCATGTATGCTGGAGCAACATGGTACAAGTCTGAAGTTTAATAGAAGGATAAAATAATCTAATTGAAAATGATACAAAACTCACGGAAGAAGCAATTTCATTTGACCTTATAGTTATAGCCTTGAAGTGTGACCTCACAATCGCCAGAGCATACTCTTCCCGCATAACATTGAATTTATATATACATTAATTTATATTAAACAAGTATTGCCGTCACCTCTATAAATTTAAAATAATTAGAGTAGTGCATAATCCAGGGAAAAGTTAACATGCCTAACTGTATAGGAGTTTGAATCAGTTGAAAGAACCAAGTGACAGGAACTTCCCTATATCTTATGCAAGATGGAAATTAGCAAATTGACAAGACTCAGTCCTTGCAAGAATTACAATCATTAATTAATTTTCTTGAATTGTTAAGAAATTCCTAAGTAATTACTTTTTGCAGGCACTTAAGTTCTTCATTCGTTTTCTAGATTCAATTCTTATTGAATTTTTATTTTTTTCTGCATCTGACCGAGTATCCTAGGACTGGTAGTGTAAGAATAAGTCTTGTAATAACTACATTATATTTACCCTTAAATTCTTAATTAGTTTCAGTGATACTGAACTCCAGAATCCATCCTGAACTCAAGAATTCATCCTTTTAGTTGTTTACCATTATAGTTTCCTGAGACCTGACCTGACTATGATTTTGGCTTATTTGAAACGTATATAGATGTTACTTGATGTATGCGTTTCACATAGGATTTTTCATGTTTCTAAACTGCAACGCCTTTTACATTTTGGTTTTTCAGAACTTCTTTTCCTTCCAATTTTAGTTACTCTTAATAAGGCTTTCTGACTCTCTAAGTGGCTCAAAACAGTTCTCTCTGTAACAAAAGTTCAAAATTAATGTTTCCATGTCTTCCACAAGTTGGCATTTTTCTCACAATAACAGCATTCGTCTAAGACTGGCTTTGAAGGGGGAGTTTCATGCATTTAACATAAATATTTAGGTGTAATAGATAAGACAAAGACCGAATTCTTTGTGCATCTACGATAAGGACAACATACAACGGCATATTATTCACAATTGAGAATTTGGCAATGGGGTCTAAGAAAGTAGAACAATATTTCTAAATTTATAATTGTCCTGATTGATCCTCTGGTAAGGCTGGCCTCTGACAATGAAGGGACGTGCACAGCCTCCAATTGTTAGAGCTGGTACACATCATGTCCTACAATCACTCAGAAAAAGACCTTGTCACCTGACCATAAAAGTTTCCTTGCCTCATGTCAGTATCATGCTCCATGTTTATACAAGATCATATCCCACAGTCAGCAGCTAACAAACCTTAAAAATAAAAAAATAATAAGATTAAGTGATTAACGGCTCAATTGAAATCTTTTTAAGGGAATTTAACTTTTATTCTACACAACTCACTCTATCCTCTGCCAGCAAGAGAGGAGAAACAGAAAGAATTAAGGAAAAAATGACTGTAATAACATGCCATATTAGATGCATAAGTGTTTCAATATATGTGTCTGTACTTGTGGGAAATGATACAAGGACAAATCCTAGAAAAACTGAAAACAGATAACTAGTGCAGAGCTTTTAGGTTTAGGGGTGGCAGAGAGCTATATATGTAGCTTTACTCTATGTTTATGGCCCCCATTTGTCATCGTAATTTCTGTGATACATTTTTCTAACTAATTATATTATACCCTGTCTGTTAAGCAAATGATTTCTCTATATCATTTTGATGAAATGAGTTCTTATGGCATTTTTGCAGGACTATGATTTACGCAACAATTAATACTGACAGTAATTAACAAAGTGACATTGAATTATAATATTTATCATAGCACAGAATCTGCCAACTACTGTCAATCACCATTCCAAACATTGTCCATTATCATTTTGCTATTTTTCTTATATTAGATTTGGTTTGAGCAACGACAAGAAGTATAATAAGTCAAAACTATTAACATCAACTACAAATAAATACCTCCAAACCCCAACTTGGATACGCAATATCATGAAGTATCAATGAAGCTTATAGTCGTTTGTATATGATAACTGTCCATGGCACTTTTCTTTTCTTTTTTTGTTAAGCGTCCATGGTACTTTATCGAATGTAATTGATCATTATAATTTAGATTAAGTTAGATTTATAAAGTAATTTGTATTAAATGATCTTAATTTTATTATTTTAAACTTTATTTTAATCTTAAATTTTAGGAAAGTTTGAAATGAAGATTATATGGAGAAATATTTCTAATGTTATCAATATTGAAACTGTGTCAACAAAGTTATCAATAGTTTTTTACCGTTAGCAGTGAAACTTGGGTTGAAGAACTTGCATCTTTGAGGAATCAAGTACTTAGTTCATCAATTTTCATGGATTTATTCTATATTTCTTCTTTTTCTATGATATTCCTTTGTGTTGTTATGTGTAACTAATATTTTTGGTTAAGGAAAAAAGATCTAAATCCTAACCTATACTATATGTAATCTAAATATTTACTTTTAATTCAAATCTATTTATTTTAAATTGAATATTTATCTCTCCTTTTAATACCTCCATGAATTGGTCATTCACAGGGGATTATAAATTTTTAATTGCAATTAAATGACTGAGATAGAAATTAGAAGTGAGATAAAGTGTCATGATTGGGGGACACTCTACTAATAGAGGTCAACAATTATGAAGTTTAGGAATTCCAGATGTTAATGTTTGTTCTACTTAGGAATTTTTAAGGAATTGAGGTTTCTAATTTGGGAGAAAAGTTGTTGAGTCAAGGAATTGATCTTCAATTACATTAGTGAATTCAACCTTCAATTACACTTTTAGGACTTGAATTGAAGTGAAGATTTAAGTTATTTAGGTAAAGGTTTAGTAAACTCATTCCCTAAAGCTTTTGATATATTGATTTTTCATCATAAGTGTTTTGTTTGATAATTGTACACAAAAATCTCGTTCTTAATCTGAATTTTAGAATAGAATTTACTGTTCATACTTGCTTTAGGAAAATTAATCCTTTCATTCAAATTGTTGGCCAAACAGCAGAGAAATTGGAAAATTAATAATTCAGTTATAGTATCCGTACTATGAGAATGATCGGTACACTCTCCCGTGATTTACTCTCAACATTTATTTACATGGAAAGACTTATGTTTAAATCAAAATCTGCATTTTAACCACAAGAAGTATAAAACAAGGATGATATAAGCATCGAAATGAAATACATAGCATCAGGCACTTCCATTGGTTGAATGAAAGTGTGATCTTGCTGAGGTGTTTATTCGTTGAATGAAATTGTGATAAGCTGTATTCCTTGTGGCTGATCTCTGCCTGCTGCCATTGCATTAACCTTGATTTTAAGATGTGTCTGAATTTTGGCTCCACTGTTTAGGTAGAGAGAACATCGTTGGTCATAAATCACACAAACATGATACTTTTAAATCCAGAAAAGTGAATCAGGCAAGAAGATGTCAATTGTATCCTTTTTACTTTCATCTTCAACAGCACTGATAGTGATATAAAATATAAGTCGAAGAGCATTTCTTGTCTTCAAGTTAGGGCAACAGACAACAAAGCTGAAAATGAAGCCCAACTGAGAGGAATGCAGACTTGAAAAAAAATCAATGATCATATAATCCTTTTGTCTTATACTCCAACCACTCTGAAACCTTGGTTCATGGATACACATACTTTTACATGATAAGATTCATCACTACAATATTTGTAATCATCATAATTTTCATTTGGTGCAGGTAGATAATGGTATGCAAATTTCATTGCGTTAATATGTGCATTTAACGCAATAACCTTGATAGAATGGTTGTCCAGATTCAAGCAATTCCAAAAGCAAACAACTTTCCTACTTTCCTTGAATTGTTCAGCAATTGATGGAAACAGTACAGTCTTCAAATATGTGAAATCTGTTGCATATAGATTTTCAAGGGATAGGAGAAGCTCTGTTAAAGTTTGAAGACCCTGGCAATTACGTATACCCAAATATTGCAATCTTGTAAGATTTTTGGAGCATGAAGGGAAGATCTGGATGCCACTGCTCATTATAAATAAGATTTCAAGCGTGCTTTGACGGCCAGAAGATGTTGGCAATGCCTTGACATGAGTGGCAGATAAATCTAGCATAATCATATTCACTGACGTCACTGAAAATTCCCTTAGTGTTTTGCATCTGCCATGCTTGAGAAGACAAAATGGTACCAGCTAAGGGAAAGGAAGATTCACTAATATGGTGCAGTGACAAATCTGGTGTTTTCTTTATCAAATCTTTTTGTAGAGCAGTAGAAGACAAGATTTATGGTAATGAAGGGTGGTCTATACCAGGAACAATCGGGATATACATGGTTCCACTGAAAGTATCCTTGTTATGGCTAGAATGGACAGGATAGTATCCAAGCATAATCTAACGTTCACGGGTGTTTCCTTGGAGGATGAAGGCCTATGCTCCAGCCTATCTGCACATAAGAAGTTGAAACCTCTGATCATTTATTTCTTCACTGTTTCAGAATGTGAAAGATATGGTGCTCTATTCTATCATTTGAAAGGAGTGTGTTGGTTGTGTCCAAATTCAATACAATAAATTTTGGACATGTGGGTCTCCCTTAGATCACTGTGAAGCAAAACTATCTGGGACCTTAGTTCTTATGCCATAATATGGTTTGTGTGGCTTGCGTGAAATGATATTTGGGATCTGAACAGAACTCAGGTAGTTTGGCTGGTGAAAGCATCTTCGAGATATTGTTCTTACTCAATTTCATGATGTATGTTAAATTGTTGCTTTTATCCTTTCCTGATTCTATTTTGGTTGATCAAAGCAAAGCTAAAATCTCTCTTTTAGTTTAGTTTCTAAATTCTAAGTAATTATTGTTTCTTAGAATTGCAAGCCTTTTTTCACAGCAATCGATTGCAAAGATAGGAAACTAGAATTGTATAAATTGGAGAGTTTCTCGAAGAGGAGAATTATTTACTTCATATCTTTTCTATGTATTCAGAGAGTATTGAGAGTATTGTGCATGACCAATTTTATTTTTCACATTACCGCTTTGAATATATATGCGTTAGTTGGCGTTACTTGTGGGTATAAGTTACACGCTAAACCACGTTTCTCGTTACATTTCCGCTTTATATTGGACATTTATTATAATAATGTATTTCTGATTTACAACATATACTGTTCCCTGTATACCTTCCTTAAATATTCTGAAATTTAATGTTGACAGATCTACAAAAGGAACTCCAGGCTGTAGGGTCGTTGGTAGTGTTAGGAATGTGATAGAAACTGGATCAGAGAAATGTTAAGAGAAAGAAAGAATATCTTTATTGCACATCTAGAATCAACCCAGGAAATGTTTGAGAGTCCTGGTCTCTCCCAAGCTCCTTGGAAACTTCTGAACCGTCTAAAGAAGAATGACAATTTGATGCTTCAAATTAACTGTGTGGATGTAATTCAATATTTTAGAAAACTCAATTTCCTTGCTGATTTTTTGCTTAAACAAGGTTGTACTAGGATATATGGGTTATGGGCTTATTTTGCTGTAATAAGGTGTATCTTGCTTATTTGAGAGGGATGTTCTCAAGCTTAATCTCAGTTCATTTATGTAATGATGTTCTGTTTCCAAAAAAAAAATAAAAATCCATATTTCATTTATATTCAACTGAAGCTGAATTTAGCTAAATGAAGTCACTATGTACTAATACAAAAATAAAATAAAATCCAGAAGTGAATACCAACCTTTTAAATATATTGAAATTCAAAACCCACTAGTTTCATGATGTGACCTTGATATTATCTCATTGAAGCTTACAGTAGTTTGTACAAGCACTCAACAGTCTACAGTATAACTAGAACTATAAGAAGAATTCACATCTATAATAACTTGAATGCTAAGACTTATGTCTAAATCAATTTCTGCATCTTAACCAAAAGAAGGATATAAACATGATAATAGTAAACATAGGAATAAAATGCATATAATCAGGCACTTCCATTGGTTGAATGAAACTGTGATCTGCTGAGGTGTTTATTTGCCGAATGAAATTGTGATACGCTGTGGTGTTTATGTGTTCCATGAAACTGTGATATGTTGAGGTGTTTATTGAACTGAACCCGAAGCCTTTTAACCCCTCCACACCTTGTGGTCGTTCTCTGCCTAATGCCATTACATTAACCTTGATCTTAAACCTTGTCTGGTTTTTGGCTCTACTGTTTAGGTAGTGAGAACATTCTTGGTCATAAACCACACACACGTGATCCTTTGAAATCCAAGGAACTGAATCAGGCATGAAGATCCTAATTGTATCCTTTTTACTATCATCCTCAATATCACTGATAGTGATATAAAATGAAAATCCAAAAACAGTTGTCTTCCTTTTAGGGCCATAGATAACAAAGCTAAAAATGAAGCCCAGTTGAGAGGAATGTGGAATAGAAGAGATATCAATTTTCATATAATCCTTTGTTGTCTTATACTCCATCCACTCTGGAACACTGCTTCCTGGATACACATACTTTACATGATAAGATCCAACACCACGATATTTGTGATCATCATAATTTTCATTTGGTGCAGGATGTTGATATGCAAATTTCATCGCATTTATGTGTGCATTTAACTCGATAGCCTTGAGAGAATGGTCATCCAGATTCAAACAATTCCAAAATGAAATATCTTTCCTACTTTCTTTGAATTGTTCAGTAACTGATGGAAATAATACATTCTTCAAAGATGAGCAATCTGTGGCATACAGAGTTTCAAGTGATGGGGGAAGCTGTGTCAGGGTACGAAGATCCTTGCAATTACGTATATCCAGATATCGCAATCTTGTAAGATTTTTGAAGCTTGAAGGGAAGCTCTGTATGCCGCTGCTTGCAAGTGATAGGATTTCAAGCTTGCTCTGACGTCCAAAAGTTGGGGGCAATGCCTTGACACGAGTGACAGATAAATCTAAGTTAACCATATTCTCTGATGTCACTGAAAATTCCTTTAGTTTTGTGCATGAGCGAAGATTGAGATGACTAAGGGAACTTAAATGGTTAACACTTAGAATTTTGTTGAGGGAACAATCACTTAGATCCAATTTCTGGAGCTTGTTCAGAGAGAAAATAGATGGGGGGACACTAGTCATTTGAGGACAAAACTTGATGTCCAATACTTCAAGATTTGTGGCTTTTGAAAGGTCCGGCAGCCCCTTTAGGTTTCTGGAACTAGAGACTTTGATTTCTTTTAGATTTACCAAATTCTATAACAAAGCAAATAAATGAAGACATCACACACGAGCTTAATTTGTCAATTTCGTAATCATTGAATTAGGGGAAAATGATAATAGGTGGGCATGTTTATTTACCTGCACTCCATTCCAAATCTTTTCCACTTGGCTAAATTGCAAGTCCAACATAACAAGATTTTGGGGAGAAAAATTCTCTGGCAAGGATTTCAGAGGGTAATGCATCCAAGAGAGATATCTTAGTTCATCTGGGAATGATTGAAGCCCATGAGGAAGAAGATCAAAGCCATCTTCATATCCAGGAAAATACAAAAATTTTACTTTACTCATCTTAGTAAATATGTGAGGGCTTAGGTTTAGCTTCTTAAGGACTGACAAGTGCACTCGTATGCTCCATATGGACTCAGTCCCCTGCCATTACAGTAAAAATAAACAAATAAAACATCATTAGAAGTCTAATTTTCCCACAAAACATTCATATGTTATCAAGAAAAAGTATATTGTTTTAAATTTAAGCCTTTACCTTATTATTTTTAAATACTTCATAAATGTCATCAGGATCCCACAATCGGCTTCGGCTTCCAGGGTCTTCAATAGATTCTTGACGAACAATCTCCCAACCTGTTTCTTGTATAATATCGTGCATAGATACAACATTATCTTGAGAAATGGTTATAAGAGCTTTGTCTTTTAACCTTTCTAACACAGCAACCACTGAATTATCTCTTTCACTACCTTTCAGTAAAATTTTCATCCGGTCCACTTTCAAATCCAATCCTGCGAAGAAACATGCAAGATCTAAAAATATTTGTTGTTCTTTGCGATCTAGATCCTCATAACTCAATCTCATTACTTTGTAAACATCTGTATTTGGCATGCTTTTAAGTTTGTCCAAGTGACTTTCCCACACTTTCTTATCTTTTCCACATAATAGACGACCCAAAACTTTAAGAACTAATGGAATGCCTTCAGCATAATTGACCACCTTCTTTGATAGCTTATAATACTCCATTTCAAAATGAGTTTCTTTAAAGGCATACAAACTAAAAAGCTCAAGCGCTTCAGTAGAGTTCATTGCCCCAACTTGGTATATATCATCAACTTTATTTGCCACAAGCACTTGCTTGTCTCGAGTTGTTATAATGATTCTACTCCCCGGACCAAACCAATCAATGTTTCCAAGGAGTTTTTCTGGTAGATCAGAATCATTGACATCATCAAGAATAATCAAGACCTTCATACGACCAATCTTTCTTTTAATATAATTGGACAACCCATTTTCTGTGTTCAATTTCACATTTTCTTCTAGTAGTGTAGAAAAAAGTTTTTCCTTCAAAAATATTGTTTCATGTCTTCCTGATTCTTTCCTTACATTTGCCAAAAAATAATAACTATCATATTCAAAATATAGTTTGTTAAATATCTCCTCTGCAATTGTTGTCTTTCCAATACCGCCCATACCCCAAATTCCAATGACACGAACACTTTTTGGCTGTTGATGTAACAATGATTCTATGTGTTGAGTTGCTTTGTCGATTCCTATAAGTCCTTTTATGTTAGCCGGATGTTTACCCAACCTCATCAACATTAGATTGACAATGTTGACGACTTCTCCAAGGAACTGAACTTCGGTCCTATACAACAAAAATAGAGATTGGAAATGAAAAAAGTGTTCATACACGTACATGTGTAAATGATTAATATATTCTGAATAAATTATTGAATTATATGTTTTTATTAGAAAATGACACAAATTTATAAAATAATGTAGAAAAATATTAAGAACAATCTAGAAAAATGTACTTATATATTCTAGTTAAAAATTGTTTTACAAATCATAATTCTAAAATATTATATATATTATCATAATATTAAATCACTCAAACATAATGGTGGAAGATGCAGATGTAATATCACATTGTAAATATAAGAAGTGAACAAGCTATTAATTCTCCATCCACGGTGTCTTATCTAAACTTCTTCAATTATCATTTTTAACTATTTAACTAATATATTTTAATAATTTTACTCATCATTTACACACAAAAAAAACCATCAACTTTCAAGTGAGGAGTACTAGGAACACTCTAATACACTAAGATATTGGCAGAAATTTATTGGAACTACAAAACATCAGTGGAACTCATTAAAATAGGATTAGGATCCACATAATTTTTATGATTTATTACAAATGTCAAAAAATAATAAAAAGTGGGTTTGGACGAATGCATTATAGTGTGTTGTTATCTTTTTTCTTTCTTAATAAACATTGCACGGGTGTTGAAAATTAGAATATATTTGGGTTGAATATAACAGGTAAAGAGATTTTTGGGTTCTCCTATCAAAATCATAGCACAAGGCAAGTGCAGGTTGACTAATATTTTAATGTAATATTCCAGTGAAAACAATCTAGAAAATAAAAGATTGTATCTTGTCACTGTTTATGCAACCAACTTATTATAATATGCATACAGCTATAAGATAGGAAATAAACAGAAAAAAAATATCAAGCATTGACTGTGTTTAGCTTACTGGTAATTGATTGAAGTTATTCCTGATAAATCAGCAGCTTTTCTCAAAGCATGTCTCCAGTTTTGCACTGTGGTCGAATTATATTTTTTTTCATGTTCAACAAAAGCAATTGAATAATTCCCCTTCTGATGTCGTACAACTGTAGGTTCTACATGGTAGAAAACAGGTATAACAGTTTGTCCATATTTCTCTCGGCACTCAAGTATTGTCACTAGTTCTTCCAAACACCAACGCGAAGAAGCATAGTTTTCAGAGAATATGGTCAAAGAAATCAACGATCCTTTAATTGCTCCAATTAGTGATGACCATATTTCCTCTCCCTTCTCAAGATCATCATCTACAAAAGCATATATTTGCTTTTGTTTTAAAGCCTTAGTCAAATGACCAAGAAATCCATGACGAATGTCCTCGCCCCTAAAGCTAACAAAGACATCATACGTCATTTGTCGAACATCATCTGACTCTTGCTCTGATGCGACATCCATCAGTTTGGAAATTAGCAAGAGACATATAAAAACACCATATTTTATTTGAGAAGCTCCAGAATGAGAATCCTCCATTTTGAATTGGAACAAACACTTGATCTTCTTATGATGAAATGGAAAGAAAAAGAATAAGAACAAAACCGAAAAGATCAAAGAAACAAAAATAAAGATTAGCTGTTAGTGAAAATTAAGAGAGGAAGGAGGTAGATATATCAAATGAACATGCAGTTTTCTCTACTCTTTCCATTTCATTATTCTTTTGTTTGTTTGCACCTTTTCTTTGACCAGAAATGAATGATTGATGTAAATTAAGCAAATAAGCAGTTACTGACCTCAAATAATTTTACTGAATTGATGGTTTGGCATCCTACTGATTGGGGAACTATTGTTCAGATATGTCAAACCAATATCTACTGGACCTGCAGTTTTGTACAAAAAGGAAGCAATTCCATTTGACCTTACTCTCTAAAAGCTTGACCTCACACATTCACTCACGCAGAGCATTGTAGTTATGCATAAATTTCTACTAAACAAATATTAATGTCACCTTTATGTAAATATAAAAGAATTAAACCAGGGCTTATCTAAGGGAAACTTTTATTAACGGGCCCAAATGCTCTACGGGTTGGATTTATCTGTATGAACTATGTGGCCCGCATTTCCTAGTGTGAAAGTTGGACTTGGAAATTTGGCACAAGAGGAATTTGAGAGAACATTTCAATTCGATGTTAGGTAACACTAATTCATAAAGAATTACACTAGGAAACCTTGAAACACTCCATTAAAATAACTCCAAAAAAAACTCTCGTTCAATTTGTAGAGGTATATTTGATACCGATGGCACATTTCTTTCTTCCTCTCTATTTCCTCCCTTTTTCATTTTTCAAATCAATTAACATGGGAACACTTCTGATAACATGATGATGATTTTATCGTCACTGGAAACGCAATTTCTATGAAACTATTACAAAAATCCATCTCATTTGACGTAATAATAATGAAGTGTATAAATGCATATAGACAATTATGTCGATCAGCTCCATGCATATAGATACAAAATACAAGAGAAGTGCATGTATGAACCATGCGACTCGAAAAACAGTGTGGACGACTGACTTGGTAAATTGGAGAATTGAAAACACGTCGGCTTTGAATTGAAAAATAATTTAGACGGGTCGAATTAATGAATACGATTTACAATTTCTTATAGTGAAGGAAACTTCTCAGTACTTAGCCTTCAACTTTTCTACTCTTTAGGTAGAATTTAATATTCTCTCAAACATTTTTAATATTTTCTCCCTTGACTATTACAAGACTAATCCTAGAAAAACAAAACTAGAAATTTGTCCATCTATATTTATATTCGGTGGTTTCAACTACTATTAGAACTCTCGTTATTATATTAGGATTATTTTTCCAGAAAATTCCTAAAATTTTACATCCAAATTTAGAGAAATTTTGATTAGTTCCTGTAAAAAAATTCTTATAAAAATTTGCAGCAACTTTTTAAGTTTCTTAAAAAATATTTCTAGAAAAAAAAGGCAGGAACAGCTTATAATTTCCTGCATCTTTTTTGCCAAAATTTTCATTGGAAACAATTGTAGAAAAAAATTTCTGCAATCTATAAAATATGCTACATCATTTGCTGCGAATAAAAGTAGCAGGAAAATTTTTTTATTTCCTGCAGATTTTTGTGCCGAAAGTTTTGTAAGAAAAAGTCGTTTGTAAATTTGGAGGAAAGCTTGATGTTCTTGCGAATTTTATTGCCAAAATTAGTGTAGTAAATATCTATAATAAAATCAGCAAAAAAAATTAAATTAATAAAATTTTTCATTTATTCACCAAAAATTAAATTTATTAATTTTTCCATAAAATTAAATTAAATTAATTTTAAAAATATAAAATAATTTGAAGATACATAAAAATGATGCAAGAAAATTTTATTATTTGTATTATTATTTAATTCAACATTGATAAACATTTCAACCAAAATCTTGTCAATTTTAATTAAATATTTTCATACTGAATTAAATTAAAAAATACATTAATTTACTAGATTTTGATTTAACTTAAAATATTTAATAATAATTTAAATAAATAATTAAAATTTCATTAATTATTTAGTTAGTTTAAATAATAATAATAATAATAATAATATTATTATTATTATTATTATTATTATTATTATTATTATTATAAATATATAAAAGGAACTTATTCTATGTAGGTAGCTTATGCTTAATTGAGGAATTTGAGAATCAATCTTTTATTTTTGATTGAATTTGATAATTAATAATAACGGAGAAAGTTAGAATTTTCATTTAACTTATTTATTATTGATCTTTATTCACTAATGCTTTGTGTTAAATCTTGAAAATATTAATCATTATCTCATATATTTTCCCTATTCTAAAAAAATTTAGTTTTTGTTGGAGGTGTCATTTTCCTGTTATAACTTCCATGACCATACATATGCTTGGATTGTTAGCTTGACACATGGATTATATTTTGTGTTTATCCATTTATTGGTAGCTTTGGCATTGAAGGAGTAATATGTTCATTGATGAGGAAAATGGTGATGACAATTAAAATATGTGTTGTTGAATTAAATAATTTTGAATTGAATTGTATAAAAAAATTATTAGGTAAAAACAGAAATTGAAAAAAAAAATAGAATAAAGATGGAAGATGTCATTACAATTGCAATGTTAATAAGTCAAATAAACAATCGTCACAAGAATTTTGGCATTTTAACAAGATTAAGAAAAATTAATTCACTTAAGAATCTAGAGTTACACGCTAAGTGTTCAATCTCAAATTACATTAAAAATTATTTAAAAATATGTTTACAAGAGCTTATATATATTTAGCGCTTATAAACTAACACTAGTATAAACCTTAATAAAACTTTTTGTGCTAACAAACTCAAATCCAAATAAACTAAATAAAATAAGTTTTTATCTTAAATAAAAGTTTAAAGTAAGTCATGTTTAATATCAAAATAACTAAAGTAAACATAGTAATTAAATCCTAATTATACCCATGAGAATCTAAGTTCTCTAAGTATATATAATTGACCATCTTAAGTTCTTCTAACTCCATAGTGGGTCTACTTTTAAATTGGACAACAACCATCTTTTCTAAGTTTTCTTTATCTTCTTTGCCTTTATTCTTATTATTTATCCTTAAAGTCTTTCTAATGTCTTTAAACTTTTGTCTTCGATGGATCTTCTTTGATTCTCGTCAAATGGAGTATCTATTGTGTTTTAAATTTTATTAGTTAGTCTAAGAAAGATTGTTCTTGACTAATTTCAAATAAGTTAATCTCAAACTCACTTCTTTTTTGGAGATGTCTTGGAATCCATCATCTTTCAAATACTATAAAATTAATATGGATACTAGTTATAAGATAGATCATATGAGTTGTGATAGTGTTACAGGAGACTAGTGGTAAATGACTACCATTTTTACTTCTTTGGATGATAATGAGTTTATTTTTTGTATTAAATTGAAAGCAATTTTTTTAAGATCTTTACTTAGTTATATTAAAAAGTTATCATAAAATGATTTTAAAATATGATAACTTAAAAGCAATAAATCTTATTCTAAATATCTCAAAATTAGTCTCTCTTAAAAGTATGTTCTATTTTACACTATTTACTATCTCATGCAATTTTCTCTCGTGTATTTATGTTGTTCGCAAAGTTAATTCAACTGGTTTATTACAAAAACTGTTACATTCATTTCACCCTAGTGTGGTGAAATTTGGATTTGGCAAATTGACACAAGCATACTTGATTATTACTTTAAGACTAGCTCATGAATATTGAAAGGATATTAATATATAAAGATCATGAACGTTAGACTCAATTTTTAGAGTGAACTGACGGGTAAAGTAAGAAAATAAAATTTATTTATTTAACTTTAAATCTACAGTATAGTATTATTTTTCACTTTACACATCACCTCACGAAAGAGGAGAAAAATCCATTAATCTAGGATTTAATTAGTTTCTCTAAGTATAGAAATTAGTTCCTCTAAAATAAAGAAATGTATAAAGTAAATATAATTAGCTTTAAATCAACAGTAAATAAGTCTTTACTTTTGTTTACACATTTTCTCACTTTAGATAAACTAAATTAATAAAAGGCACATCAAATCAAATTGTAAGACTTTTCAATTTCCCTTTTGCCCTAATCAAAATTAATATTTTCAATTTTTCCACAAATTTGGCATTTCCTTACAATAACACTATATTTCTTCTAAGATTATCTTAAAGGAGGAGAGCACTTATTGCATATGTAAAGTAAATATTTAGCTTGGACTGGATAGATTTCTTTCTCACGATATATTGAAAGCTCTTTTAATGTGTATTCAAAATGATTCTTGTTTTAAAATCATATAGCTGTTGTGTGTGAAACAGGCCATACTTATTCTGTAGTTATAGATTCCCACACCTGCATATTTATATATATTTGATTCAAGTGGCACGTTCTTTATTCATCTCTCACTTTCATCCCTTTTTCGTTTATCAAATCAATTAAGACGGGAACAGTTTTGATAACATGGTCATGTTTTTATCAATACGGGAAACGTAAAAATATTGTTATCTGAACGTTCAGTTTTAAAGGGCTTATTGTAAGTCTTCTATCAGCAGTTTAATAGATAGAAGCAAGAAGCAATTTCCATGAAAGTATTATATGGAAATCCATCTCATTTGACCTTATAATAACAAAGTCTAGAAGTATGTCCTCACACTTTCACTGTCTCCCTGAATACGGGATTAATTTTTAGATACATTTACATTAGAAAAATAATATCGTCAGCTTTATATAATTATTAAATTACAAAAGCAGCACATGATCCATTTGTATGGGTCGTGTGATATACACAGGTTTTGAGTACCCTGTAATGGAGAAATTGGCAAGAATCTCATTTTCTTTTTGAGTTTACAATACACAATTATTTTTTTCTCATGGATTCTCTTATATGCATTATTT